ACAGCAAAATTTTTGCGAGGATTTCCAGTAGCATTAATTCTCCAAGAAAATTTGTTGCAAGACAGAAATGGATTGGAATTGGGGAGGTGTAGAAGTCGAGTCGAGAAATAACAAAGCAGTTGCGCCACTTCTTGTTCAAAGCAGCCCATTTTACAGTGGAGATGTGGTTAAGATTTATACTGTCTAAACTTCATACATTTAATGCATTAAATTTAATAATAATCTTGAATTTTGCTTCTACTTAAAACTATATTCTACATCAAAAAGTAAAAATATATCCTAATTTATATTTTAATCGTGAAATACTTCTCTAATGCAAGCTTAAGCGTTTATTCTAACCCTAGTATAAACCTGAAGTTAAGTACTGGGAATTAACACAGAGCGGGAAGCTTAAACAGCAGCAATTATTTTTTTTTTTTTTTTTTTTTTTTTTTTTTATTCTTCGGCAGATTGAAGCGCCAATCTGACCATTTCACATTCCAAAAAGGAAGGAGATCCCGATACAGAGAATTCGCCGGCCGGTAATCGAATATGCCTACCCGGCATGGATTAACGTAGCACCAAGCAAACTAAAACCAAACTACAAACATTACAAAACTCAATCCTCACTAGTGCATATAAAGTCCCACGCACAACAAGCTCACACGACGCAAATGTACAACCACTTTATGACAGACTTCTACACATAAAAACTTCCGTACGAATGGATTTTTACGCTCATTTGATCGCTATGTCATACATCATGGAAGTGAGCATAAATACCTCTTACCGCTAAATATGTAGCATAAGTATTGCAATCAACCACCTACTGGTAGACTTACCTAATATATCATTTGTGTGGTATACATCTGTATTAACAAAGGTTTGTTTTATTATTATTATGTCAATACATACTAGATATATTACAAAATGAATCAGCACTGGAGTGTAAGAGACTGTTAACATACCAAATGAAGTAACGTGTACACCAATGCAAATGCTAGACTTTGCACATATCGATAGGAGTTTTGTAATCATGCTAGTAACATTACATGAAAGAAACACCTTCATTTATGAAATGTTCAATATTTAATAGTCCTACTAAAATACCAATGCAAGTGGGAGGAAGAGGTGGAAACATCAAACCTCGACCTCCCATATCCCGATAAAGAGAATTCGAATTCCGTATTGTAGGGAAGAACTCCCACCATAACAAATTCTACAAGCCAAATAAATAGAATTTTGGCTTGTTTTCCCAAACTAACCAAAATACAATAATAAAAATATCCAGCTACAATTCGGACATCTGTCTGGATAGGTATTTGGTCGTTCTCCGCGACCTAGGAGGGTCAGGCTCTGTCCCACTATTTACAATAGCTACTGTAGAAACGATATACGGGTTATTCTATCAATTATTTTTATTTTTTTAATATAGGAAAGTTTAATCAAAATGTGATGCCAATAACTAGAGTAACCGATTTCCTCCCCACCCCCTCCATCAGACCGATCTGTATATGTTATGTGTAGAAGCTGTGAAGTACTTATGTGATACACGAAATCGTAAAGATGCTATAAAACTACCAGGAAAAATTGTGGTGATTACCATGTACTCTTACTTCACAACTTTCAAGTGTACGTTTATTGAAAATTTAAACTAATTAGTGAATATACTATTATAAGGGACCCATCCTACTACTCATTCAATGAGGCTGATCGCACGCGGCATTACTCAGAGTTTAAATCTTTGTGAAATTACAGCATGTCCCCTTAACAATAATTTATATGTTACATCCTTCTAGTGAAAGAAAACGTGCGTCTTAGAGCCCGATAAATAAAATTTGGCAAGCTTTCAGTTACTACGGCTTTTGAGTTTCACTTAAAAAATAAAACGTGTAAGGCAATACTGTCATTATATTTTCACTAGTTCTTAACCGCCGATAACTTTTGTTAAACACGTTTAAA